AATGATGCGTATGTTAGCAATGATAGCCAGTGGAATGCATCATTTGTTGGCTGTAACTCATTCAGACCCAAAAACAAATGCACGCAAATGAATGTTAAGGCATGCCCATTAAATGTTACCAGCTGCAGTGGAATGCGTGTCATTGCGAATGACAAGAATGTTGCACATTCGCCTGTTGTTTGACAACACATTTCGTGGCATTCTAATAACTCCGGCTGGATAATTGATGTGCGTGTCGCGACGCCTGAGGCCTGAGGCCTGTCGCCCAGCCCAGCCCAGCCCCCAGCCCCCGCCCTCCCTTCTCGCCGTACAGATTCCCACCAATGGGCACACTCTTGATACTCGTCAGGACGTCAGTTCGGCCTCAGAGCGTCTGATAAGCGCTGATAACAAAGGTAAACAAAAACGCCGCCCACCCCGCACCGCCCCGCCCCACGTTTGCCCAGCCGCCTCAGTTTGGCGGGAAACGCTGCAATTCGTCGGCCTTGGCCAACGGCGAGGCGCATGCGCCAGCCGAACGCCCGCCGGCCCGAGTCCTTCGCCCACATCGGCCGGCAGCGTATAAGAGCTGCAAACAATTCCGACTCCCAGCCAAATAAACTGGGAAATTTACGAGTCAAAAATTAACTGGCAGTGAAGAGATCGAATCGAATTCCCGATAAGATCGTCGACTGCATGGCAAATGAGCCGAAAATTAATGCGAACAAGAAGAAGCATCAGCTGAGGTGGGCAAACGTGGGTGGTCTGATTGACGGGTAGATACCCTGTAAAAGAGTTCATTATATGCTTCGATAAGCAATTGAAGTCTTCAAATGCTGGAAATTAATGCGAATAAGAAGAAGCATCAGCTCCAGTGGGCAGTCGGGCACGCTTGACGAGCAGATACCCTCTAAAAGAGCTAATGATTTGCAAATGATGGATAGATGAATAAACAGTTAGAGTCTGCAAGTGCTGGCAATTAATGAGAACACGAAGAAGCTTCAGCTGAGGTGGGCAAACGTGGGAGGTCTGATTGACGAGTAGATACCCTGTAAAAGAGTTCATTATATGCTTAGATAAGCAATTGAAGTCTGCAAATGCTGGAAATTAATGCGAATAAGAATAAGCATCAGCTCCAGTGGGCAGTCGGGCATGCTTGACGAGCAGATACCCTCTAAAAGAGCTAATGAAATGCTAACGATGGATAGATAGAAAAACAGATAGAGTCTGCAATGGTCTGCAAAGGTCTGATTAACAAGTAGATACCCTGTAAAAGAGCTAATGAAATACTTGGATAAATAATAAAAGTCTGGAAATTCTAGAAATTAATGCGACTAAGAAAAAGCTTCAGCAAGTGGGATGTATAATTGACGAGTAGATACCCTGTAAATACATAGATAAGCAGTTAGAGTCTGCAAGTGCTGGAAATTAATGCGAATAAGAAGAAACTTCGGAGAAGCGAAGCAGATTGAAAGTGTTTGACAGCGAGATACCCTGTAAAGCTCCTAATGTAGTACTCTTATAAAGTAATATAGCCTGCAAATGTTGACAATTTATGCTAATAAGAAGAAGCTATAGAATGTATGAAAGTTTGAGAATGTGACCGACAAGTACATACCCTGTAAACACTAAATAATTGTTTGCAAATTGCAAATAAGGAGCTGCAGTGTAATTGCCGACTAGATACCCTGTAAACATTAACGAAATACTCTCATATACTATCAAAGTCCATGACTAGCAAATACCCTCCACACTCCCACTCACAGGTATACACGATATGTAGTTGGCGTTGCCTGTCACATATATCTGCCCGTTTCCGAAATACCCCTTATAGACCATTTCACGTACAGGGTATAATGCGCAATTTGCAATTTCAATTAGTTGACTTTGGTAGGCAGCGCTGCGACATGGCCTTGGCTTCGGGCCCGCTTCTGTGTCTGTCTGCCAAGCCCAGATGCAAGCCCTGCCTCGCTATAAAAGCAGCTGCCCGCGCGGAACCAGTCAACAGTTCAGCCGTGGTTCTAGGTTCGTTACTTGACTGGTTCGTAAGATGCTGCTGCATCTGCCCCTCTTGACGCTCATCGGGCTGCTGGCTAGCGCAGCTTGGGCAGCTCGTCTGCCAGCCCACGCCTATCTGCCACCGCCTGTGCCACAGCAGCTGCCCCATGTGGAGCGCCAGCAGCAGGAGCTCGTTCTGCCACAGCAGCAGGAATACGCACTTGATCTGCCACTGGAACCATACTGAGCACAGCAGCCATTCATATTTGTGCTTTGCTGCCAACGCGTAAGTCCTGGGCACAGCCCCGACCGATAGATACCCTGTGCTGGGCTTTTAATGAACTAAAATCGACTTATTGCCTATTTCAGCATTTGGTCACACTTAAAACTGATTTGAACACACCTAAACCACATTTGGTCACACTTAAAGCGTATTTGGCCACACTTAAAACTAATTTAGCAACACTTGAAACTAAATTAGGCCACACTTAAAACCAATGCATTTTCACATTTAAATGGAGGATGCAGCTGAAGCCAATCTTTCTATTTTATATATAACTATAATGTCTTTAAACAAAACAAATATTATTTTACTTGAATATACGAAGAATATTGAAATTAAATAAAATTAATTAAAATTTTTAGAGAATTTTTAAAGCCTGGAAACCTGGTTCATATGAAATGCTTAGAACAAGAATCTTTTGCACTCGCTTTGAGCATGCTTTTCATTATTTTAAGCATGTACATACTTGTTTTGAGAACAAGCTCTGGCATTTCTTGCAATCAGTTAATATGCCCCTATATTGAGCGTTTTACAGGGTATTTGAAATAGCTATAGCTGCAACTGTGGCATCATTGTGCATCATAAAAACGATGAGAGAAGTCAACTCTTTGTCGTTGGCTGCACAACCGCAACATAATCCCTGTCCGCAGTCGCCAGGTCTCCGACTCGCCTCCCCCCTCGTTGGCCCTTACCTGGCTGATGCAAGTCAAAACTTTGGTCATGTGTGTGTGTGCGTGTGCGTGTGTGTGTGTGTGCGTGTGTGTGTGGATGCGGTTTAATCAAGTTTCGCCACTTAAGTTTGAGCTCAGGTGGAAAACACTCAAGAGCCGCCTGACCAAACCGTTCGGAGAACTGAAACTGAACCGAACCCAAGCTCAAAAACCATAGCCCCCTCCCCCCGCACACACACTCCCTGCCCCCTGTCACTGGGAAATCCTAGAGCAACTGCCGTGAAAAGTTTAAAGAGCTTTGCGACGCTGGGTCTTCTGTTTTCGGTGGTGGACTTCTGGTTTCTAACCTGTTACGCATTTGCCGGCTGCACATGCCTGTCCATTGTTTTATGGCCACCTCTCTGCCCCGACCACGTCCACGCCCCTTCCCTGGACTACACATTGCGGTCGAGTTCTTTTTCTGGGCTGGCCACAGCTTGTCTTTTGCTGACTTTCGTCTGACGGCAACTTTAAAATCAATTAAATTGAGTGCCAGCATGATTGCGCAAAATGATTGTGCAAGCTGTATAAGTAGCTATGCACAAAATTCAATATGCTACAAGCTTTCGACCCTCACTCGTCCCTCCCTAGTCGCGTTTGCTCGACTAGCAGATATCCTGTACTCAGTGCCTTGCGTCTGCTCGAGTCGAAGATACCCTACATTCAGTGCTTGACTAGCCGATATCCTGCACTCAGGGACTTGCGACTGCCCGCCTAACAGATACCCTGCATCTATAAGATACCTTGCGACTGCTCGACTATAAGATATACTGCGTCCGGCGCCTTGTGTCTGCCTGACTAGCACATACCCTGCACCCAGTGGCTCGCGACTGTCCGACTTTATCAATATCGTAAATCTATATCTGATCAGAAGAAGAAGATCGACTCAGCTCATTGTCCTAAGCAACAATGTATATTTATGGAGATGCTTCTTTCTGCCTGTCCAAAACCTTCATACCCTTTCTACACATTTGCAAATGATCTAGGGTATTCAAAAATATGTTTAATATATACAGATGTATATATATATATTCATAGCTAGCTGGCTAGCTATGCATGTTGATTTTAAGTTAAGCTTTTATTGGGTAATTGAAGTAAAATTGGGTCATTCAAAGAATTTTTTTCAAGCATAAAAGCTTCTTGTGCTTAAATAAAGGCGTGTCAAAAGTAAAAAAAATGTTATTCTAAATAAAAGAAGGTGAAAAAACACTTGTGCTAACCTGTAAATATCCTTAACTTGAATTTGATATGGAGTTTGAACCAGCAACCTCTCTTCTCTATAGCTCATCTGCGGCAGACTGTAAGTAGAAATCATGATTATAAATATTAAAAATAAATAAAAACAAATTTAAATTGAAAAATAAATATGAATAATGTACAATAAATATAAGATAAAATATATAAAGTAATGTATAAATAAAAACAAGTAAGAGGTTGTAGTCGGGAGCTCCCGACTAGGCGATACCCCGAACCCTCTTCTTCCAACATCAAATGCATATATATATTCTATTTAAGAAGCTATATGTCAAGTTTGGTGACTCTAGTTCTTATTATTTACCAAAATTGCCAAAAAAAACAGGATATCGATATCGATTTTTATCGATTGCTTGGAAACGGAGTAAGTTATCGATTATCGGAAACAAACTCGATCTGCGCGGGCACTAGGAGCATCTACATATAAAATTTCAAGTCTCTTATAGGTTCTGAGATCCTTGCGTTCATACATACGGACGAACGAACAGACAGACAGACGGACATGGCTAGATCGACTCGGCTATTTATGCTGATCAAGAATATATATACTTTATGGGGTTGGAGATGCTTCCTTCTGGCTGTTACATACATTTGGATTTTGCACAAATACAATATACCCTTTTTACCCATTTTCAATGGGTTCAGGGTATAAAAAATAAATGTAAATAAGTAGAAAGCGTATTTCGTAAGACTTATTTCGCAATAGAGCGAAGTAGGCGATGGTCGGCTTTTCCATATGTTTTGGGCCAGTGTTGAATTGAATTCAGTTTAGTCTATAATCTGTTGAAGGGCAGAGCTCAAAATCTTTCGAAAACTAAGCAAAAATAAAAGGGGTTGACTTGAAAAACAAGAAAACAACAATTCGCATACAGATATGTATCCCAATCGAGACAGATTCATACCCCCGACGCAGAACGGAAGAACGGCCTACGGGCCGCCGGTTTTGAACTTTCAGAATCGAATGCTTGTCGTGGAGCGCGTAATGCAGAGACTTTCGGGCCTGTGGCTGTCGTTTAGCACGCATTTTGTGCTTGTGAGGAAACTGTTCGATCTGGTCTTTGGCCGGCTAAAGAACTGGGTGCACATTCGGCTGGGCCGGGTGCCGCCGACAGTGAGAGATCTGGCGGCGAGCATTGAGACATGCAATTGGCCGACGGCCTCGATCCGGTACATTGCCTGCCATCCGACGGGCATGGAGCGGGCACTGCTGACCAGCATGGACGTGGCGTTGCTCTACTCGGATATGCGTGTGCCGCCCCAGCGTTTGACCTCCGCCAAGCAGCGGCATGTGACCTGCGCCGCGTTCCGGCCCTGGTCCAGCTCCGAGCTGGCGGTGGGCGGTGCCGGCGGCATTTGCCTGTGGAAGCCGCTGCCCACAATGCCCCGGATGATGCAGATCACCTGGTACGGCTACAAGCCGAAGGATTTCATTGTCGATCTGCAGTGGCTGCAGACGGGCACGCATCTGGTCAGCGCCACGCTCGGCAATCGGCGCATACAGATCTGGCATCCGGAGCTGAGGCAGCTGATGCAGGAGCTGCACGTTCCGCTGCCGGGCACCCACTGCTGGGTGATGCGCTACCAGTCGGACATACTGCATCTGATCAGCTTCCTCAAGTCGGATGCGCCCATTTTGCGTTATCGCAACTCGCTGAAAACGTGGAGCAATCAGCTGACCAAGCGCATGCCCATCCAGACGGCCGCTTGGACGGCACGCGGCAACCATTTGATGTACGTGGTGAAGGGCTCCAGCAAGGTGTACGGCTCCACGTCCAGCATGGTGATGGGTCCCTTTCGGCATCCGTTCATGGTCTGGAGCACCAGCGAGGTGATCGATCTGCGCAGCTTCTATTGCAACTGGCAGCAGCACGAGGGCGGCCTAGTCCAGTCGATGGTCATGGATCCCCTGAATGTCTATGTTGCGTTCATGTTCAAGCGGCGGCCCTTCGTTCTGCTCTGCCTGCTGCATATTCCGTTCAACTGCAGCCTCAAGCTGAAGCCCATGCAGCTGATCCGAAGCGCCGATGGGCATCCGGATGCCTTTCCCACATGCATCACCTTTGGTTTTATGGATCGCGTCGCGAGCCATCGGGATCGCAGCCTGGTCATAGGCTGGTCCACGGGTCGGTTGCAGATCGAGGAGCTCATCGCCCAGACTCGCGAGGAGGCGCTCCTGTTCGAGGAGCTAGAGATTCGCCATCCGCAGCAGGTCTTCGAGATTGATTTATATTAGTTTGCCATTACTTGCTTCTTTAACGTCTCTCATTGCATTTTAAAGAGTTTCTCACTTTTTTTTTTTTTATTTTATTGTAAATTTGGTTTTATCGTTAATAAAAATCCAAACTAGGTTTACTTTCCTGTGTGCAATAGACAGGGGAAGGCATCTCTCAGCTAGCTTGGAATTCCAGAATGGATCCTCATTTCGATCCTCCTTCATCCTTCATCCTCCCATCCTATACATCCAAATGTAGTAAACTATACTCCTTTCGAGATGATCAAGGCAACAGACAGCGGAAGGCAACTCTGAGCTAGATTCGAATTCAAACCTGGAAGGCTTTCAAGATCCCAGGCAATATATTCCTTGACTGTTTATTCCAGAAAGACAGCAAGATGGATTACACGATTTGAAAGACTGCATCGATTGCAAAGGGAAGTTTGGAAAGGGAAGCAACAGACAGGGGAAAGGAACTCTGACCTCTTGGAGTGTATACACTCTCCAACAAGAGGAAGGGCTGAGTCGATCCGTTTGTTACTCTGAGCGTCGAGCCAGAGACTTGATATTGGAAATACATACAAAGATTCTATGAGCTAGCTACTGATAAATAATCGTGCACTTCTTGGATACCTTATTGCACTCATCCCCAAATTGAATTGCATTCTTATAGCCAGAGTCTTGCTCTTTGGCATATACACACTTCTGCATGCTCTACTTAAGCTTTGGGAATAACTCACAGATCGGATCTTAAGCACCGAAGTTAGACAAAAGTGCATTTCCCAGTTGATGCTGGGTATCTGCTAGTCAGGCACCTTCCGCCAAAACAGTTCCAATAGTTTCGGGCTTATCGCTTAAAATGTTTTATCCATCTAAACTGAATTAGCCTTTACATATTTCACTTTCAAATATTTATCAAACTAGGTTAACCAATCAATTTGTTAATGGACGAGATATGTGAGCTTGCCGTAGTCGACTAGCTGCTACCCTGTACAAGAGCTAATTATTATTTTATGTTTGTTGTTCCCATAAATATAGAAGCTATTGGAAGGAATGCCACTTTGTGTGCATCTACAGACAAAACAACAAAAAGACTTTGAGTTTTTTAAAGTTTTTTACGAAAATAAACTACAAAATTGCGGGTTCAAACCCAGTTTTGAGCATATTCACTGCAAGACATATCCAGCTAGATATATCTAAATATATGCAAGCATTCATACCTTATGCTCAACTTTTTATAGGATATAGCATAAAGTCAACATACCCTTAACGTGTACGGCAAGTGCAGGGTATGCAGCTAGTCGAGGCCATAGAAATGAAATGAAAAAAAAACCAATATAAGAATATATAACAATTATGTGGCTGAGTATAATATTAAGGTAAGTGTGTGTGGGAGGGTGTGTGTGTGTGTGTGTGCGTGTGTGTGAGGGTGTGCGTGTGTGTAAAAGCGTAGCCAAAGTCAATTGTCAATTGTGTTGTTGTTGTTGTTTGTTAGCTTCATTATTTGCCAAGTAAAAGTAATGAGACTTTTGTTGCCTTGTTGTGTTGCACATGAGTGCGCCTGTTAAGCTTTATATTTGCACACACTCGCACACACACACACACACACACACACACAATGCATTTGTAGAAAATAAGCTGCCCCGCCCCGTCCAGCCTTAGCTTTAGCTCCGTGTGTGCCGTTGGCCTTTTGTGTGTTGGGCAAACAAAAGCGCAAAGCGTTGACAGCCCGTGGGCCGCCAAAGGGTCGCACAAGGCAGCAGCAGCAACAACAACAACAACAACAACAACAACAACAACAATAAGAAGAAGAACAACAACAACAACCACAGTCGGGCGCAAACAAAGCGAAACCATTTGGCAGTGCATGCCGCAGTCGGACTGCAGGCAGACAGAGACAAGGGGGGAGGGGGGAGGGGGGCGGGGGGTATCTGCTGTCGAGGGGCGGGCGGGGGGGGGGGGGGGCAGCGTCCCGGCTGGCCAGCTGGCGATAAGGACTTGCAGCTGGGCCACAGGCGAACGGACGAGTCCTTTTTGGCGCCTGCATTACCGATAGAAAATAAATTAATTTTCATAATAATTGGCCGCATCGGCGCAGCTCTAACCCAGCCCCGCCCAACGTCCGCTCGCCCAGCACAGCTACACTCAAAGGAAAAGTCAACTAAGTTTGCATTTTTCCTAAGTTCAGATAATTTTCTGGCTTTTCAATGCAATTTTTGCATATTGAGCACATTTTTTGGCCTCAAAGTTTTTGATACGAGGAAAACGTTTTTAGAAATTATTTGTTGCCTTAAAAAAAAAAAAAGTTTCTGCTTTGTAGAAAAAGAAAGCTCAAAGCATTTTTAAATATTAAAAAAAAAATGTCTTGCTGCTTTTTAGCAGAAGTTTTTTGTTTTAAAGAATTGTTTTTTTTTTTACTTTTAAATATTTTCTTCAGATTTTTGTTGTTCATATTTGCTAATATTTTATTTTCTCCCAAAAAAAAGCCTTCGCTTTTTGCTCAGTGTACTTTGCCGCATTGCCTTTGGCCATGAGTTTAGGGCGAGCGGGTTGGAGGGAGGGAGGGGGGGGGGGGGGGGGGGGGGGGGGGGGTTCGAACCCTTTTCTGCGGAACTGAGCGCCAATAATAATAACATTGTTAACACAACGTGCGCATGTAATAAAATCGTTTATTGAATTGGCCATAAATTTTCTCTAGCAACAGCCGCAAATTCCCCCTGCCAGCCCCTCAAAATCCGACCCTCCGCGTAGCGTAAAGTCAAAGTTGCAGTCACTTGGGCAATATACTAGGCCAGGGGAGGAAGGGGCGCTGGGTTTACGGGCGGCTGTGTGTGCCTTTTGCACTTGGGCCTTTGTGCAAAAGTTGCGCCAGAGTTTTGGCCAAGAAATCAGTCTCTCTGCCTCTCTCACCCACCCTCGCCTGCTCTCTCTCTCTCTCTCTCTATCCCTCTTGCGTTCTCTTTGTGGCAATTGAAGAGAACTCGCCGCAGGCGGAAACTTTAGTCTTAGCCTAAGCAACCGCTAGGTGGGCGTTAAGTTCATGATAAACAGATTAGGAAAGCGCTTAGTGCTAAGCTTTAAAAGCTGATATTTAGTGAAAGCTCTAAAAGACTCGTTACTCGTTGCTTCTCTCATTTACTCGCTACATTTGGTTAGTAACGAGACAAGACTCACACGTAACGAGTGAAGTAATGAGTTATGTGTTTCCAGTAACGAGAATTCAGCGAAGAATTGAATGAATACCGAGACATTTGTAACGAATAAAATGTAACGAGTAAGAAGTAGCGAGTAACGAATGGGGGTTAAATATAAACTTACGAGTAAAAGGTATTGAGTAAAGTAACGAGTAGCTCGAATTTAGAATGTTTTGAGCAAAAGCTTACAAGCATTGAGTATTTATGAAAAAGTAACGAGTATAGCAAGTAATAGGTAGCGAGTAAAATCGAACGAACAGAGCGCAATAAACTTGCCAGAATTTGATTCAAGTTAAGACTAAAGCAGCTTCGTTAAGGCCAGCAATTCGAGATTCGCGCAGATTGCAATGCCAAATCGTTGCAGTGCAGCATCAAAGAGTTTAACAACAAAAGGTAACTACGACTTGTTACAGCAGTCCTTGGATCTGCAGTGCACTGGCTAATGGCAGAAGCTGCGTTTTAACTACCACACATAAATTGCATGTAGTGCCATTAATAAGCATAAAAGCATTCGCCTTGCCACTTCGCCAAGTGCACGCGGAGGACCTCCCAGGCTCCCAAGAGTGTGTGTTCCTCCAGGCCCGGCCAATTCCCTTTGGTCTGGTTTTTCGCTGGCTGCACGTCTTGCGGCGGGCCACTTGGCTTTGGGGCGAGTGAAACACTTCAAATGTTTTCAATGCTGTTCAATAATTTGTGCAAGGACAACGGCGACGATAAACGCGACGAGCTGACTAAGAGATAAGTCCCAGCCCAAAGGGTTCCCCAGCTAAGCTAGAGATGAGCGCGTGTCTCTGACACACATTCGAGCAAGGACTTAAGTCTACGTTTCGTTCAGGCAGGTCCTAAAGTTGATATGGCTTTCGTAAGACTATATATTGGATTCAGCTATAGCCCAAGATACAGTCTTTTGAGCTGATGAATTTGCTTGGCGCCCGAGCAGGGACTGTATGGTCTATCTATGCCTAAGCTGCGATTAACTCAAACCAAATCATTTCACATAGTTTCCCGTATGGAAAGTAAGTTTAGTCAAGTAGTTGAAAATCAAGGTAACACGAGTATATGTCACGAGCTGACACAAAGCTCTAACCCAAGGTTGTCCGTGTTCTGGAAGAAGCAGTTGTTTGTTGCCCGAGCAGCGACAAAGTGCTGTGTCTTTGAGGAAAGTCCAATGTCGCTGGCTTCCACCAAGGTTTTCATTGCCTTTGTTGAAACTCAAAGGTCGCCTCCAATCCCAGTCATCCACCAAGGTTGTCAGTTTTATGGAAGATGAAGGTGTTTGGCTCGCTAGCAGGGTCTAAAAAGCGTAACTCCGCAAAGGGACGACAAGAGAAGCGCCCGAGCAGGGACAAGAGACTGTACTTCCGATCGAGCTCCCCAGGCAGCCAAGCCTTCCACCAAGGGTTGTCAGTCTTCTGAAAGAAGAAGTTGCCTGGACACAACATCCTATGTCTTTGATGGAAGTCCAATGTGGCCAATGCTTTCGCTTTCGCCATCTACCAAGGTCGTCAGTTTTGTAGAAAGGACAACAGACTGTACTTCCGATAGAATTCCACAGGCACACAGCTCTGATCCAACCCTTCTACTTAGGTTGTCTGCTGGAAGAAGAAGTTGACTTTGATGAAAGTCCAATGTCGTCTGCTTTCGTGTCACGAGCTGGCACTCAGCTCTAGTCGCAGCCCGTCTGGCAGCTTTGGCATCGTTTGGGGCGAAAAAATGCGCTTATTTTGAAGTGTTGTGCAAACAGTTGCATTATAACTGAAATGACGTTTAAAAGCGATAAAAGCAACTCAGCCAGAAGGCGTTGCCGCTGCTCGATAAATTTTAGCTGCTCGCTAATTATGAAGTGATGCATTTTTCTGTGCTTAGAAGGAATGCAACAGGAAATTCGTCGCTGCGAATGGGTTTAGT